AATAATTATAAAAGAACAGTAAAAAAACAAATGTTCATTTGTTACAGTTATACAATTACTATAAATTTAAAGTTAAGTTGACATTACAAAACAACTAAAAACTATATATAACTTCATAAAAACTTTGTATATTTGTTTAAATTTCTAACATGTGTGTACATTTTTATTCTTTGTAAGCGTATTTTTTTCTCCGCTGACCTATTTCTTCTTTCGTTTGACTAGCAGAGAGTGCACAGGCATTAAGTCCTTCAATTGTACCTATCACCACCACAAAGTTTTAATAAATGTTTTCCATTTTTATGACTTTAATTAGCATTCCAATTAGTTTATAACATTATAGAATAGATTTCTATCAAAGTATTTCACGATTTAGGTTCAAAAATATGAAATAAAAATAAGTTTCTAGGAAGGATTTCAGTTAAAAAAAATTGCAATAGAACGGGATTGAAATGTCCAATCCATAAAAAGATCCATCAGTTTCATATTTTTTCATTTTCTTAAAGCTACGTGCTTTCTTAAAAAGTATTTTAGATTCTTAAGACAACGAATAAATCTCGTAATTAAAAACTAATCAAAATTTAAAACTGCCAAATATTTCTAAATATACCTAACAACAGCTTAAGAAAATGTCTTAAATTATTTCTAACATTCATTGTCATAAAAACTACTTTCGTTTTCCTGACAAATGCCGTTAATAATAAGAACTTTATCCCTAAAGAAAATTATAAAGATAACTTACTTTAAGATTATATACTTAAGAAAAACAAAAACTCAGACAATGTTCCTGATATTTTAACGTATCATATTTTTCACTATATTTATTTCACATTAGTTTAACTCAGTTTTTAGGAGTTTTCATTTTTATAACAGAGACTCAAGTAAAGGATTTAATAAAATGTTTTAATCTATTTGTGTACCTGATAATTGAATAAAACTAATATTTTTACGTTAGTGTCAAATAAAGTAAAATAAAATCCCTGAGTTACTCTCGTTATTACGGTTTAACAGATAGACTGAAATTCAGCTTACAATAATTTTACCAGAAGACAAAACTCAAATCCTGCTAGTGTTCAAAGCTTAACCAGACAAAATGTGCTGTCCAAATAGGAAACTAGTCTTCCATAGCCTAATACGGACAAGCAGGGCTATGCAGCCGCAATGCGTCTATTGGTACATTTTGTATGAACGCAACTGCTCGTCAGCTTTAAAACCATCCGATTTTACGATGCCCTGACGGTAATATGGCCATTTTGGTGCTTTATGCAATTACAAGGGTCAATCGGATCTAACGTGATGTACACCTATTTATAATAATAGTGTGAGCTAGCTATTAGCAGCTATACAATGACAATTAGATATAGTAAAACAGTACAAAGAAATCAATATGTTTGTGAGGGCAACTTTATATTTGTGAAATATCATCATATATAGTAACTACATTATGTATAACAATATATTATATCTATGACAATTGTTACATTCTTTCATTTCTCTTCATATCAACTTTTATACCCATCAAGCATCAGCTGTAACAAATGAATTCTGCGAAAACAATTGTTTTAAAAGCTATCCAGGCTGTAAACATTTCAAACGTGACAGATTTTATTGTTTCAAACTTGTATTAAAATGAATAACGGCTATAAAAAAAGAGCACAAAAGTACATAAAGATGTAATACATAAAAATGATATTTTGACCCGTAGATTGTTACAAAACTTTCACGATTATATTCTAGGTTCTCATCAGTGTTTTAACAATGATTTTAGTGCGCTCTTTTTTATTTCAAATAATTATGTTGCATCATTCACAATTATGAAGTCTTAATAACGTTATTTCATATTACCATAGTAGTTTTGTATTTTAATTAAAGTATAAAATGACATAGTTGACTAAACTAAGATAGAGGTTTAAGTTGTAAACTATTACTCTTTGTGTTTAAATGAAATATTTGTATAATATCCATTTATTACCATTCGTTTTCTACTCAACACTGAATTCGTTTGTATTGTGTTATAATATTTAATAATCATGAAAACAACAAGATGTAAAATTATTATATAAATAAGATTGGGTATAATTTTTTGTTAAGTTTTAACGTGTGAAATTGTTAAGGTTTTCAGAGAGACTGAGAACTACCAGGCTTACGAGTAGTGCTAATAATATAATTCCTATAACAGTCGGGTTACTATTATTTATATATATATACATATAAATAATATATCTGTGTTCATTTAATTTTCAGTCTTGCTTTGAAATTCTCACTATAGCTTGAAGGAAGTTTAAGGCTTAGTCAAAGATATATCAATAGAATGTTCTCTTATTAATCGTAATGTAGTTAGATTTATAAATATGTAATATTTATATTGTAATGAATCGGGAGTTTATACAGAACTTTTTGCAGCTCATCCTAAAGTTCTTCAGCTAATATTTTAGATGCAATTAAAAAATTAAAACTTTGTGTTTATTTTGTAGACAATAATTTAAATTGCTCTAACAGTGGAATTGGCTGAAGACGTCTGTTTTTCGTGAATAAGAGATTTCTTAAAAAACTACAAATATTTACAGTTACTAAAATCGCATTTGTTTAAATAACTCCAGTTACCTGAGGTAGTACATAAATATTTTGGTTAGGAGAAAAAGAGTTGTTTATTTTAAATTCCAACTTCTTGTTTTATTTTTTGGGTTTTAGTAATTATTATTCTACAATCATCTTTAAGAAATATTCTCATTAGTTGAATGGTGCTTTAGAATATCAGAAGAGTTTGTATTTCATCTATGTTAATAAAATAAAACTTTTTTTACTGAGTATGTTAGCAAACGAGCCGACGAACTACTTGTTGGGCAGTAGTCACCGTCGCCCATAGACAGCCGCAACATAAGAAATGTTGCGGATGCGTTGCCAGCTATAAATGTTCAGGCAGGACGGGCAGAGGGGAAAAAGCAGATGACAGTAAATGGTAGGAACAGGGAAAGGAATTATTTATACAAGTGATAAGAATTGTAATAGTATAACCATATAAAACTCATGAACTCATATTACGTCATTTCATATTAATAAAAATTTAAAAATAAAAATAATAAAAAAACCTAAAAAAAAGTAAAAAAATCACAGTGACACTTATCGCGGTGTACCTTAAAAATTTTGGAGTTTAAATAATGTCCCTAAACCGCAAACTGCTGATTGGCAACCAGTTCCCTTATAACCGCTTTGATTGTTCGCTTAACTGGGGTAGTTTCAAAGTTAATTAACGGGCTATTTCCAAGTTAAATAGTTGGTTGATGTGCAAATTGACTCAATTTTGTAATGAATTCAGTTGAATAGAAGTGTATCGTTTCGTGTTTATTGAATATCATTTCTTGAAACGTGCATGGACTTTGATTTTTTTTTAAATCTAAAGTCATACTTTAACATAAATTACTATACTTTTTATTACTAATATCAAATATGTAAGCCCGGAGTTACTAAAAATATATTAAATGAACAAATGAATCTTTTATCGGAAACTAAAGGCAACGAAAATTCGAAATATTATTTTGACTTTCGTTAATGTTTTATAAGCACCTTTTCTCTTTTCCTATTTAATTGTTTACGTACTAAAAAGACGGTGGTAAACCTAAAAGAACATCTATCATGGGTGAGAAATTTCTACTTACGTGAGTAAACCCACTGCTTTTATAAGAGAAGGATTCAATGAAAAGGAATTTTATTGAAGCCGCTAGAATAACCCGACTGTTAATAATAGTTTAGGGTTTCTTAAAAGTTTTGATTCTTTTAAGTAAAATGTAATTTTAACTTACATTTTCTGTTTATATTGAGTCCTCGGTAAGCACTTTTAAATATTTTTTATAAATATCTATGCTCAGTATAAAAAATCTACTTCCTTGTAATCAAAAATTAAATCACGAAAAATTGAAGAATCTGCAATCAATAAATAAAATCCGTCAAAGGGCACTTTATCAAAAAATTACACGCTTTTGATCCCCTTACGTACGAGAGGGATAAAAGCTCTTTAAAGTATTTATCAATGGTTAAATAGAGAGAAGGCGTCATGAGACTATATTCAAATAAAAACTTTTACTTTATTTTTTCATCTCCTAAACGACAATACTGTATGAAATGTCAATTAAAATTCTTCACAATTACTAATAGCTTCACAAATGAATCTAATGACTGTGGTAAAGAATTAAATTCAAAAATATAACTGTGTGATTTGGAACGCTTTATTCTTATAAATTTTTTGTTCACACTGATCAAATCAATATGTAAAATATTTTGTTAAATTACAAAAAATTATTTACAGTTTATAATTTATTTTTAAAAACAATTTCTGAACTTCGATAAATATCCATGAATTTATCATTTTTGGTTATGTAGGTTTATAAAATTATTTATTAACATTAATTATAAAAATTAAGCTCAATTTAACTTCCTTTGAAATATGTGATTTACTGTGTTAGTGAATTCAAATATATATTTGTTATGTACTTTTATTGATATAAAAATGTTAGTAATTCTATTTTGTTTATGTACATATAATGTATGTATAGTTGTATATATAATATCAAGCTTAATTTTGAAATATTCTAAATAAGTATCGCGTTAGTTTTTTTTTTTAAAGTTATTTAATAACGTGTGTGAAAATATTATACAAGTGTCTACTTTATTGACGATAAATTCATGCAAATTAAATAATGAATCCTAATGTTTGTAAACGGATATAAAACACTAAGCTTTAATTAGTAACTGGTATGCACAACTAATAATTCATAATAATGTATATCACAAAGTAAAATAACATTTTAGATAACAAAACTTACTACAATTTAGACGAAATTTTGTGTAGTAGTAAAAAATAAAAATTTGAAATTTAAAAATTTTAATCTATCTGGATTATTGAAGTATTAGTTTTTGTTACAATAATGAAATATAAACAGTCTGTCGATTTGATATTTTTAATAAAAACGAATTTAACGAGTTTCTGTTTGTTACAGGTAGAAGGTATGCGGGCTCAAAAGATACCCGCTGCCTTGCTACTGTTGCTGTTTGCAATAGACTCGTTACACGCCAACCGAAGAAAACAAAAAGAAAAAATCATTCAACTGACTACAAATATTTGTGACATAAGTGACCGAGATTCCAAAGTACATTGTTATTGTGAAAACAGCCAGGAAATAAATGAGGCAATTAAAACAGAATGCTGGGTATTCAACGGTGGTATAGACAAGTCAGATCCTTTATGGCCAAGCTTCACATCGCAATCAAATATAGAAACGTTGGCATTTAACGTTCGAGCTGACGGAGGATTAAATTTCGTGCCAACAAAGGTGCTGAGATATTTGAGAAAGTTGAAGCATTTCAGCATAAAGTACAGCTCGATATTAAAAATAGAAAGCAACACTTTTGTTAATTTGACGTCACTTCAGGAAATGACATTGACCAAAAATCAAATCGTTGTTCTCAGTAAACATTCCTTTTACAATTTGCCTAACTTAACATCGCTTACTTTGGATGAAAACAGATTGAAAAAAATTGAAACTGATACTTTTTATGAATTGCCAAATTTACAGAAATTGTTTCTCACTAGTAACAATATAAGTGTCATAGAAGATGGTGCATTTAGACATCTTATCAACTTACTGGAACTTGAACTGGACAGGAATAACATAAGTGATTTGAAGAAAGAATGTTTTGATGGACTTGCCAATCTAAAACGTCTTGATCTAAAACGGAATAAAATAGCCATACTCAATTCATTTACATTCATAGAGCTCTGGAATCTTCAAGAGTTGATGTTGGATTATAATGATATTTATATATTAGAGCAACGCACATTTGATGGATTGTCGCAATTAAAAAAACTGAGCTTAAGTCATAATAAGTTGGTAACCCTGACCGATGGCTTGTTTGAAGGTGTTCGAGGATTATCGGCATTAGATTTAAGACATAACAAATTAAAGAGATTCACATTAGAGAACCTACGTCCAATTTATGATAATTTAAAATCTCAGAAAAGTTTTATCTATCTCGAAGGTAATAATTCAATGTAATGCTATGTTAATCATAGATATTAGATATAATATTAAGTATTAAAACCATTTATTTCTAATTACTGTTGTAATATATTGAAACTTGCTACTAGCTATTGACTGAATAACAAACCCCCTTTAAGCCATTTCGTTCTCATCTACATGAGATATCTATTATTACACTTCTCGAGGACATCTTTATCTGTCAGGGCTTGATTTTTTGACAAGAGAAATACTGCAAGACACGAGTTTTCTGTAAAACAAAACGAAAATCCGCCTTAATTAAAGGAACAATAGTCCAACAAGTATGTAAAGGGATTGAGAACTTCCTCAATTTTGAAGTAATCTAAACAGTACATTAAGTTAATCTTTATGACATTACCTAGTTGTGACTTAAATTCTTGACAGAATTGAGGCTGAAATTGTAAAAATTATAAAGAATAAACAGACAGACATTTTTGTTGTAGGTATATAAGTATGTACATATGTTCTTTCACATGAATTTACTCAAATAAACTGTTAGCGTGAAATACAAACAGATACTTCAATAATGTATATATTGTATTCGCTAATGTATATATTATGTTAAAACTATTCTTTTTTTGTATGGTATCTTTGAACTCAATAATTAATAAAATCGAATACTTCATAATAGTTCAATAAGAGTTAATTAAACATTAAACTGTTACAGAGAACGACTTTGACTGCGATTGTCACCTGGCGTGGATGCACAAGCTTCGACACGAAGCGAAGAGTATTAAAGTACGAACGTCTTTAGAAAACTTTGTCTGTAAATTTAACACTGATACAGTAATAAGTTCACATTTAACTTATTACGAAAGAATGAATATTGAGAGTAATGTGGAAGAAGAAAAAATAAGAAACGATTTGGATACTGATGAATTTAACGAAGACGCCGATGATGTTTATGTAGAAGAACCAAAAAGGGTAAAAGCTGATAACGAGAGGACTTTACTTCAAATTCCAGTAGAATTACTGCCTTGTCCTGCGCAAGTTAAAACTGTAACAGATAGGACATACACATACCCATCGCAAAATGAAGCCAAGGATTACAGAAACTTAATTCTCTCTTCTTCAATAACATGTTTTTATAACAAAGTATTAATCGTTGTACTTTTGTTGTTGTTGATGTTTCAATAAATATATCTGAAGTTTTAAGCTTGTTTGTTTGCATCAAAGCTGTGTTTAGATACAATTAAAACATATATGTATATTCTTATTGAAAATTATTATATACAATTTTAATATTATTATTTTACATTGCTATAATTAATTAAATATAATTAAATCGAATACTAAATGTCTCCTTTATTGCAGTTGTCGAGAAAACACGCATACATATAACATACATATGTTTTCCGATCCTTAAAATTAATTCATATCATATGAACAGTTCGGAAAGCATTTTAATCAAAATAATTCTCAAATGTTATTTAAGGATAATACAGTATGTAAAAATATAAATTTTATTTCTTGTTTGCATGTATTCGTAATTAATAAATCAATTTTACATACACTTTCTAAAATGTATTTCATAAATTCGAATATATCACACAGCCACCTTTAATATGTACAATAGGTAACATTTGTAGGAATATAATCGCAAAATTTAATAGATAGTGCATTTAAATGTCACACAATTACAATTTAAACAATTAATTCGATAATATTTGTAAGTATTGTACATATACATAAGATTTTGTAAAGAAATGTGATATAATAATAAGTTAGATTGTTTTCTAATTTTGTTTTCATTTATTTTAATGGAAATCTGAATGTTTTAATTGAAGATATTATTTATTTATTTTTGGTTAAATAAAAAAATGATTATTATTTTGTAAATAAAAATTATTATAATATTATGATATTTTAAAATAGATGTTTATAAATAGTTTAACATGTTTGTTTACGTCAAAATAAAATATTATAGGATTATAAGCTTCTTTTATTTTTCCTTTCATTGAAAATTATTGAATGGTTGCTAAACATTAAGTCATTTTCATAAAAAGTATTAGGTTTTTGAACAACAACATTGCGTAATCGTAGACGAATAAATTTAATGTTTACGACAAAGGAAGATTTTACCTTTATATGCATATTATTTTATTTCTCCATCGAACTTAATACATTTTTTATAACAACAGTTCAAGACTCATTTTGATTATTTAAAAATTTCTCTTTTTAACGTATTTAAAAGTATAAATAAAATTATTGGAACGTACTCCGCAGGCAGCTCTAGTAGGTTCTTTTCAAAAGGTTAGGTAGGTTCCCTCGGGGAGGAGCTTGGACGGTGAAGACGAGCGTTTAACGCACGTTAGATAGGGACCTTATAGAGTTACCCTGCGTCATCAAAAAAAGGGGCCCCTTAAACCTACACCTGGGTCGCTAGGCCCAGGCACTGTTGAAGCTTCTCTCCCTGCAACGAGTTGGACCTGGCACCCGCACGTTGAATGCATGGAATGCTGAGAGGTTTCGTCTCTTACTTTTTGTAACTTCTTCATAAATAGTTTAGAAAATGAATGCTTATTGTCGTCTTTTAAAATATTTTATGTAATAAAAGGCAGAATATTTATATTAGCATTACGTAACATACTCGATTGTAAACCTAGTTTTATAAGCCAACGCGATGTTTACACTTTTTAAGACTAAAATCCTATTTTTTAAAGTCATCGAAGCATCATCGTCTCAGTTTGACCATATTGAATCATGAACATCACTATTATACCGTGCTGTATGTATGGGTTATCAATAATGTTTGTTCCTAAGTATAGTGTAAACATCTTTTTTACTTTAAAAAAAAACTCTTTTTGTTAACTTATGAATAATTAAGATAATACTTCGATTAGATGGAAAAAAACATTGACTTATTGACTACAAAACATAATTAGATATCGCACTAAAGAATCTATAATTTGATAAATAAATATGCGTATACTTTGTTTTAATCATTTCAATTTGTTACATAACCAATAAATTACTTTAAAGCTTAAAAGTAGTCGTAAGTCGTAAATTATAAATAAAATTAATGTGTTCGGAATATAAAGTATCTCAACTAAAGTACATTAATGCTAACTCATATTCTCAAACCTTTTGCTTCATACAGAAAATAAAGGGACTAAATTAAGGGGTAAAACAAAGTTTTGAAACGGTAATGGAGGGCGCGACCTGAGGTACAATTCCAATTTTAACATCCAAGTTGTAAAGTGAAGATTTTATCTGAAACTAGTTTTTGGCTTTCTGTTCGTCACGTATTATTTTGTGAAAATAGGACCTTTGTTCATCCTAAAGCTTATTATAGATGTTACCAAAAATAATAAATCCAAAATGAAATGGATATCCGCTAACTTCTAGTTTCATAAAAAAAAATAGTATAAGAATCTAACGGGATGTAAAATTAAGGCTTATCTCTCAGCTAGCTCTACTTATTACTTAACCAAAGTTCTTCAATCTTATCAACGTTGTAACTGACCAGATTGCTACTCTTTAGTTATTTCAACTAAAGTTTAACCTAAATTCAATTTCTTGCAGAAAACTTTAAACATTTCCTCGTGTAATCCCACTATTAAAAATCTCGATAAAGTTTATAATGCTCAATTTACATATTAAATCGATTCTTTGTCACTCGCATCTTAGTTAACTTGAAACATTTCCTGGGCTAGGAAAGTTTTTACAGCTCCCAAGGGTCGAACTTTAACATCTCTGTAATTAGGTGACTTTATTTTTTTCGTGAAATTACATTACGAAGGACAAGTCTTTTATTGTTTACAATTATAAAGCCTAATAGCTTCAATTGACAGTTTCATATGTACTTTTTACAGAAAAATGCTAAAATTCGACTTGGCCTTAATAAAGATGAAAAATTATAAATATCTTCATCAACACATCTAGGACTTAAATTCAGCCTTCTTGAAATAATTGATTGTTAGTAAGTAACAGTAAGTAAAACTAAATTAATCAATAATATATTTTTAGCTAGATATTTTAGAAATTACAACAATGAATAACATCTAAGGTGCCCTTCCAAAAAGACTTGGATTATTATAAATATTTTTTTTTCCGTTGTAAAGAAAACCGAGTACCAAGCAAAAGTTGAGAGAAACTTTTTTGTGTGAGAAGTAAGTTATTCCATCACACTCATTGTGAAAAAATCGGAACCACTTTCGTTTTCCTAAAAATGACTACTGAAATATATCATTATATGATAAAAAAAATTGTGAACTCTAACTTTGTAATTATATTTAACCTTAAATAAAGACTAAATGAAAATAAAGTGATTAAAAACGTAACCCGTTTTATATTGTCAAAGCTTTAATTTCAATAAACTTTTAAATATTGAAACAGAAAATTATACTACCTTTTAATTTTTATGCAAGTTTATGTGTTGTTTCTGAGTGTTATAGAAATATTTATAAAAAATAAATCCGATAAAACAAAATGAGCTACAATTTTGTAACAATAAAGGGAATTTTTCGTGAATGGGTCTTGCCAACATGTCAAGAAAAAATAAAATAAATGTGTATACCGAAATTACGAGTTGTTCACACTTTTTTATTGCTTAAGACAGGAACATAAGAAATAAATGAAAAAGTAGAATGTGTCCGTATATTAAATGTAGTTCACAGAAACATAGAGCTACATTGTATACGTATCTGGAGCGTGAGCGCGATGGTGACACAAAAACTCTTACTAAATTACTTTCTGCCTCACAAATAACATTAAGAAATATTGCGAATACAATTTTTGTATTTACTTAATTAATAGCACTATGTTGTATTTTTTCCGTCTTTGTTTAAATTGGGACGGAATTGTGTTGTATAGTGTAGGAACAATTGAATTAAATGTAGGGACAGGTGGACAGTATAGTGGCTACTGACACATTGATCCTTTTGTTTCTATAAATTTCACATGAGGAAGGATTAATGTTAGTATATCCAAAGGGATCTTATTTGATTGGTCACGGTGAATTTACCTTTAGCACTGCAAATCGAATGACCCTAGAAAGGTCGGAGATAGTTAAGTTTAATAGAATTGAACTTTAGATATGTTATCCCTAGCCCATCTCAATTTGGCTCGTAACAAAGATTTATATATTCGATCAATAAATAAAATTGGAAAACCTACTGAAGAGTTTATTTCATTCGGAATAAAGCGTTTTTACTTTAGGTACAGGGAATAAAACCAGACGAACAACGATGAAATCATTTTAATTTTAGCTCTTAAAAAGACCATCTTAATGTATTTATATGAACTCCAAAATATACTTGTGCTACCGTTATTAGATAATTTTGCCTACGCACATTAAATCACAAATCTTTTTTAATATGTGTGTTAATATTATAATATATTATATTTTGAAACCCAAAAATAATATTTGAAAGATGTCTTGTTTCAAAAGTAATTTAAATTTAAAGAGACTTTACATTTCTAGTTTTGTAAGTGCACTTAGAACATGTCTAAGAGATGGCGGAAATGTAGAGGGCTCTTGAGTCTTTCTCTCAAACAATTTGTGTGAACTCCTTCAATGAACTGAAGAGTTATGCATTCGTTTTCAATTTACTCAGTGATATGTCTACTTAATTGTCTATTTTTTTGTGTTTCTTACATAAATATGTAATATTTTTGTTAATGTTCAGTTTCATTTATTATAGAGGTATTATTATTATTGCATAGTAGTTGTAATTTTGTTTTTGGACTGGTTGTTGTAAACTTTTTTAATACAAATATTTAGTCAATGTCAAAGATGAGCCTAGGCATAGAAATAGAAATAGAAAGAGTCATGGCTTACTCACTACAAATGATTATTTAAAATATCAAAGAGATAGATTTACATTAATGACAGGTTGTTAAGAATTTTCTCCTCATCTATTTTATATGATAGTTATAATAATTGAATATTTATTAAAATATAAGTCCCATATTCAACAGTATTAAATGAGCTTATATTTATATGAAACATGTAACTGGGAGCTTTATGATGTTACTGGGGATATTTACAATTAATAAAGTAAACGAGGGCACAAAAGTAATAATGTTTGCATTAACATTTGATAAACAACGTAATGTATCATATTCATGAAGTCTGTTCTTTATTTAGCTTTGACTAAATTCTTTTTTTCTCTAGGATATTGTAATAGAAAATT